AGAGGCTCCAAAAAGGAAAATGAGTACAAAAAAAAAAAAAAAAAAAAAAAAAAAATTCAATCTGTTGACTATTTCCCTCCCACTGCCAGATTCTGCCCTTAGAAATAAAATCAAAAACAAAACCACATGCAATATTACTAGAAAGAAAACAAGAAGTTCCAACCATTTGAACAGGAGAAGGTGACACAGGAGAAACTAAGGGATCCGGATGGGACAGCTGAAACATCTCAGGTTTAAACTTGGCATTCGCTATCTTCACACATTCCTCAAGCGTTGTGATGAACGTATTACATGTGGCACTAAGTAGAGAAGAGGCTTCATTCATGTTCTGAAAAATTATATACAAAGAATTGAACAGACTCATACATACTTTATGTGGAATCATGCACAATCTTATAAACAAGTAATGAAAAATTGTCTCCAATAGACACCTTACTGGGTTATGCTCAGATCTATTTAAAATACACTACCTTAAAAATTAAAGCAATGAATGAATAAGAATTATCTCTCAGGAAAACAATGTATGAAATTAGATTCCAATAAAAAAATAAGTTTTGCATTTAAACCAAACATCATACTGAAAAATTGTATACAAAGTTTATCGCGGACAAACCTACCTAAATAGTAATTTCTTATTAAAATTCTGAAGGTGATCACAGCAGTGGAATACCCACGGAGTTACTTAGTAGCAGGCACAATTCATGTCTACTGCAGACCTATTCTCTCATTTCTTCCTTGGTAGAATAGAAACTCCTTATTCTTTTCTTTTCTTTTTTTTTTTTTCCCCTCTTTTTTTTTCTTTCATAGCAAAGCGCCCAGATCTTGGGGGATGAATACAGACTGGTTTAATCCATGACCCTTTATCCTATACTCATTTTTCCTAGTTTCCATTGACCCAGACAAAAAAAGATGATGAGAAGACTGCTGGGGAGTTTCTAGGATTTTTGTTCCCTGATAAAAGCCAAGGACAGCAAGTTGAGAAGATCTATCTCCACACTGGCTACCCTACTGCCTCCTGCCTCCTGCCTCCTGCCTCTGTATGGCCATGGCAGTCACCCTGAAGCCTTGGGCATGAAGAGAAGAAACCTAACACAGCAAGAATCGCAGAGTGGACAGATGGAACAAGCCCAGGTCCCTGATACTGTCCTTGAGCTGCTGGAGCAAATGTGAGGCCACCTATCTCCAGAGAGCATGTGGTGACACAGTATGTAGCCTTAGGGTTCGAATTACTACAACCAAACGTAACCTACCTCACACAAGATTTCTCCCCAACAAAAGGCCACAGGAGAGGTAGGAGGACTTCTTGTCACTTCTCTCAAGTTAGCCAAAAGTTGACTGGGAACCATTCCGGCCTTTCAACTAGAGAGCAGCAAGGCTTCCTAGTCCTACTTTATCAGAGAGCAAGCCTAATTCATAGCCAGATCCTACAAATCTGAGTTTTGATTCCTACTTCCCTATTCTGAGGGTTTTTTTTAAGTTATTTCATAAAGCTACTTTATCACTTCTCATTAAATAAGGTCTGACCTTATTACAAAAGAAAGAGAATAGCAGTTGTCCAATGAATTCAAGAGTCGTCCTGGAGAACAAATCCTGGAATGCTTCTTCCCCACTCCAACAGCCTAATTATCAATTGGCTGCAAAGATAGGCCATGATTCCCTGGAGAAATGTGCTGCTTCCTGCTTTACTATGCTTGTACAGGCATAATCTAGAAGATCTTAGAGATTTCCAGATAGTCTACAGTAGGGAGAGCTCAGAATAGCTGAAAATAACTCATTATGAAAATGCTTCTCTGTCATCTTATGGGAAGAACTTCATCCACAAGTGTACTGCAAAGTATAACCAGACATTAAAGGATCATCTTTGTTATACCTCTATGCTGGGAGATGAATGATTCTCATCATGGTGAACAAATTCTTGGATCGTATGAACTTGTTGCATTAGAAGGTCACAGTAGAGGCGAAGTTCAGACATTTTGGTTTTCAGAGATTCACTGGTTTCACTTATTTCTGAAAAGAACATATATAAACGTTCAATTAGAACATTTTCATATTTTGGGAAGCAAAACAACCAAATGGAATCATTTAAAAAGTAAGACAATAGATAATAAATCCCTATAGCTTAAGAAGTGTGAGACCTTGGAAATGGGATACAAAGGCCCTGAGGAAACTGCATGTCTTCAGACAAATGGAAAAATAATGGCAGTCATATGTTTGACATGGAGATCATTAGGTAGATTAATTTCAGAGACAGGGTGATTATCATTGAATATCTTTACAGGATACTTCCATTCCATTATTCATCTTTCATTTGAAGAGTGCTTATATTTCCTTTTTTGAATTGGCTTTTCTTGTCCATAACACATTTTTCCAGTTCTGATATTTGAATTTTCTCTTAATAATATATAAATTGCCAAGTTCTTAAACACCAAATTTAGCAGTCTTTCATCTGTCCTGTATACTATAAATTCATTTTAAGATCTGTCAGCTTTCTTTCAATTTTCTTTATTGTACATTTTGGCACACATCATTTTTAAATTTAAATGTAGTAAAAACTATTGTATATAAATATTCATTTGTTTCTTTCTGTTCTTTTCATAGCTTCATTTTCACATTAAATTATTTTCAAAATTTTTAAATTAAGAGCTTACTTTCTTTTCTTTACTATCTTCAGTTGTACTAAACATCCAGCCATAAGCTCAGCCACTTGCCAATACCTTCTAAACTAGAGGTGTAAGAAGCAAAGGCAGAAAAAAATACACGTAGTAGATACTGGTGTTTCTCCATCTCTCCTGAGCCAGGAGCACTACTTTGTGGACTAGAGCAGCTTTATCTGACCATTTAACTTAATCAAAATTAATTAATGGACCCAAATTTAGGTCCATTCCTTCTTTATAACTGAAGTAAAATATATTACCGTTTTACCATTTTGAAGTATATAGTTTAATGGTATTAAATGCATTCATGTTATCGTACAACCATTAGTACTATCCATTGCCAGAACTTTTCATCTTCCTCAGCTGAAACTCTGTACACATTAAACACTAACTGCCCATTCTCCCCTCTCCTAGCCCCTGGAAATCACCATTCTACTTTCTGATTCTACGAATGTGACTACTCTAGGTACCAATATTAAGTGGAATCATACAACATTTGTCCTTGTGTGACTGGCTAATTTCATATCTTCAAGCATAATGACTTAGCATAATATCTTCAAGATTCATCCATATTCTAGCATGTGTCAGAATTTCCTTCCTCTTTAAGGCTGAATAATATTCCATTTACATATACCTTTAAGAATTCTAGCATGTGTCAGAATTTCCTTCCTCTTTAAGGCTGAATAATATTCCATTTTATATACACCATACTATGTTTATCCATTCATCTGTCAGTGGACATTTGGGTTGTTTCTACCTTTTGGCTATTGTGAATTTCCATTCCTTCTTATCCTACCCTTAGCCATACTCTTATCTATGATATTCTTTCATGTATTTGAAAATTGTTATAAATTCGATCCTTAGCCTTCATTTTTCAATATCCATAATTTAGTTGCTTTCACTAACCTAGATAAATTCTATTGTTTTTAATTGTAAAATTAACACAAGCTCTAAAACATTGAGAAATCAAAAAATATATAGAAAAGAAAAACCAAGCAACTGCAATCTCAATACCAAGATATACTGTTATTTCATATTATATCTGCATATAATTGAATTAATACCATAATTTATTTGCTTTGCTTTTGATTGTTATTTAGTCCTTTTGAATTGCCAATATATGTTCACGGTAAAACCAAAAGGCACAAAGGGTATACAGTGAAAAGTGAGTCTCCTTCCCACAAATTCCCTTTTCAAAGGCAACAACTGGACCAATTCTTATATATCTTTCCTGAGCTGTCAAATGAATGGATATATAATTCTGAATCCTGGTTTTTCAATTCTTTAAACATGGGGCATTTTCTCACATCATTAAAATTCCTTATAAACATTTTACTGGCTACAATGATATATCAGCCTATGGAAGCACCATATAGTTTATTGAACCATTCCCCGAAATTTAAACTTTTGCATTCTTTACAATTTTTTTTTTACTATGATGAACATCTATGTACGTAAATTATCTTCTACATTTCTGATTATTTCTTTGGGATAAATAAGTACCAGTGAAAATGACAATTTACATGTATGTTTAAAAAAACATTCCCATAACAACAGAAAAATCTGTACTTACCTTTTTCTTTTTTAGTCCTAGTATCAGTCAAACAGGCTTTGGAGCTCCCCAGAGCAACCAGCCACCTCTGTCTTTCAGCGGCATTCACTGCCTTCATGTAGAAATGCTGCTCTCCTGGAATGATTAATTCCATTCTTGTGTTGTCTGCTGAATGGACTATGATGATAAACAAAGGGGAAACACAGTCATGGAATTAAACTGGAGAGAATCAAATCATCACTCTTACACAGTATTAGATGTTTCAGATACCTAAAACAACAAAAACTATGGTTCAAGATCAGGCAGTGCTGCTCCCTAAGGGGCTACCTAGTGGCACCCTCCAAACCATCACTCTCACATCTACCCCAGCTGGCAGCGGTGCCAAAGTGATGGTAGCACATGAGAGAGAAAATAGCAACAAATTAACTAATGACAAGTGATAACTAAGAACTCCCTCCTTTGGGGCTAACTGTACCACCTTAAATATACATACATTATTATACTTGTCACATGGCCTTTACTGATTTCTTCAAAAGCAGTCTGTGTTTTGGCATCCCTCAAGCCTAGGATAGTGTCTGGCATATAGATGAAGCTCAATAAATGGTAACTATGGCCACCTTTCATTAGAACAATCGTTCTCAACTAATGGGCATATCATAATCACCTGAAAAGCATGAGTATTTTGGAGACATTCCCCTCATCCCCTCCAGCCTCCTCTTCCTCTCCTACACAGCACCCCCTGCCTTTTACTCTGACAAAAGAGAGCTAATCAAGAATGATGCTGAGCCAATCTTAAATCTTTGTTGTAAGAACAAATCTGTGTTACACTGTTATTAATCAACAAGTATTTACTCAATCAGAGCAGTGATGGTAGAGGGGAATATAAAGCAGGAGAAAAAAATGAGTCTTTGCTCTAATGGAGGTGACAATTTGACCGAGCAAACAAACTGACACCTAAAAACAATCAAAATATCTAAATGTTGAACTCTTTGGTCCAGGGACTTCATGTATTATTATAATGACAAAAAGGTAAGGAGACAGAAAATAAAAATGGCTTCAAAATAGGGATTTGACAAAAACAATATCCGGTTGAAACTGAAACAGAAAAACTGCACAAGAAAAGTTCTAGATGAACTTAGGTCAGGAGACAAACCTAAGTAGAGCCTTATTTTATTTAACAAAGTAATAAGATTCATGAATGGACAAACGATCAATCATAGGTGCAAAAGATTTCTAGACTAGGATAAAACTACTGAAATCCTAAAGCTCCAAGAATAACTTTTTTTGCTACTTGCACCAACAGCTACCTTAAAAGAAAACAATGCTCTAATTTCCACTGATGTTTCTACAAGATGAAACTAAAATAAGATGACTCATTTTTAAACATACCACAATTTATATATCAGTCAAGGGTTGTTTCCTCCAAAGTAGTCGCCTGAGACGACAACAAACTTAAGAACAATGCTTTCAAAACATCAAGTTCCTAGGAAAAATGAATAAGATCTCTATATGTAAAACTTTGAAACACTACTAAGAGAAATTAAAGACCTAATTAAATATAGGAAAATACCACACCAATGGATCAGAAAACTTAATCCTTCCAAAATTGATGTATAGATTCAATGCAATTCCAATCAAAATTCTAGCAAATATCTGTGGAAATTTACAAGCAGATTCTAAAATGTATAAGGAAATGCAAAGGGCCAAGATCATGCTAAAAAAGAACAAAGTTAGAAAACTTAAACTATCCAATACTAAGTATAAAGCAAAAGAAATTAAGACAGTACAATATTGGCACAAGATAGAAAGAACAGGCCCTTGGAATAAAACAGTCCAGAAAAAGAGCCACACATACGTGGTCACTCCCTTTGTAACAAAGATGTCCCGACAGTTGAGTGGGGGAAAGGTTGTTCTTTTCATAAGTGGTGCTCAGTCAACAGGATAGCCATATGGGGGAAAAAATGAATCTTGACCCCTATCTGAGACCATAGAGGAAAATAAATTTTCAGCCAATCACAGACTTAAATATAAAAAGTAAAATAATAAAATTTCAAGAAGGTAACAGAAGATTTCTTAAGAGGGACATAAAAAATTCTAATTAAAAAATTTTACTGAAATTAAGAACTTATGTTCATCAAAAAATACCATAACAGAATGAAAATGCAAACTACGGAATGGGAGAATACCTTTGCAATACAAAAAATCATTCAAACTATACAAAGAACTTCTACAAATCAACGTGAAAGATAGCCCAATTTAGAAACTGAGCCAAAGAACTGAAAAGGGACTTCAAAAGAGGATGTTCAAATGACTAATTAATATCTGAAAAATTACTCCAAATCATTAGTTATTGAAGAAATGCAAGTTAAAACCACCATGAGATACCATTATACACTAGAATATTCAAAATCTTAGCTGATACGAAATTTTGGCAAGGATGCAAAGCAACTGGAACTCTCATACTCTGCTAGTTGAAAAATAAATTGGTACAATCACTTTGGTAAACAGTTTGGCATTATCTGTGACAATAATTCTCTCCTTAATCAAACTTCAGTCAGGCTCCTCTGAGCTCTGCTTAACTAGGACCAAACTTGGACTTCCATCTCTGTCTTATAGAGTCCTATATTAACAAGAATCCTGCCAAGTCAGTTTAGCCAGAATCCCTCACCCCTCAATATTTGACCACCCTGGATATCTGAACAAATTCCTCTTTCCTACCATCTCCCAGGTAGTATTTGATCACCTTGGCCTGCCCTTAACAAGAATCCTGTTAGGTTGGTTTGACCAGAATCCCTTTATCCCTGAAGTTTCCTTTCAGTTAGTAATTTCCATCCACATATCCCATCGCCCTGCTCCTTGGTTGTAAATTCCCACTTTCCCTTGTATTCACAGTTGAGCCCAACCTCTTTCCCCTACTCCCCATTGCAGTAGTCCCTATACCTACCATAGTAGACTTGAACAAAGTCTGTCTTACTGTTTAAACAAGTGTCAAAAATAATTTTTTGTCTACTATCTATCAAAGCTGATTCAGCAATTCCACTCTAGTTCTAGATATTTACTGAACAAAAATTCACATATATGTTCAACAAAGGAAACAGTCCCAAAATGGGAAAAAAAACCAAACACACACCTATGAATACTAGAATGAACAGCCAAATTGTGGGATAATCACGCAGTGGAAAGACTACATGTCAATAAAAATGACTGAAATACTATTATGCAGAACAATATGGATAAATTTCATAAACATAATGTAAAGTGAAAGAAACAAGACACAAAATACTGATTTATTCCATTTATAAAATGTTCAAAAGCATCTAATTCTTGATCTGGGTGGTGGTTACCTAAGTGTGTTAACTTTGTACATATTCTTCAAACTGAATATTTAAGATCTGTGCCCTTTTCTATGAGTATGTTATTCTTTAATAAAATGATTACTTTAAACAAAAAACAGCAACAAAAATGCTGCTATGGCTTAAACATTTGGAATTGCCTCAGAATTCTGCCATTAACAATCTTTTATAATCTGCAAGGTTGTCAAATCTTTGAACTTTGAATGTAGTTTGATGTCTGATTCTCATCGGTTCTCATTTGAAATCAAATCTGGGTAATAAGATAGAACCATCACTTTTTTAAAAAATTAAAATTCATGCTTTTCTTGTATGATTTATAAAAATAGAACAACAAAATTAACCCTGTATATTTCAGGGAACATGCAAGTAACAATACACCAGGCTGAAGTGTTTCCATATCTTATATAGCCATGACTCCCTATAGGGGTTTAACTTTCACTCCTGTAGGGCTTTAGTTTTTCCTTCAATTCTCCTTGAAGGATTCAATACTTTTCATGATCATTTTGCCCGATCTCTCTTACCTACCTACCTCTACCTCACACGCCCCAAACCATACACACTAATGAATCAATGGTCCATGAAACCTTCCTTCATGAGAATTACAGCATGACTTATTGCTTTATTTCTCCCCATTGGAAAGAGCACAGTATGGAAAGGCGGGGGAGGATAACTTTACAGTATAGAAATCTGACAAACACTGCCTCAGCCAGGTGGTCAAGGTAACATCAATAGTAGAATGTCATGTTGACAGCATATACTCTTGATATGTAACGACAATGGCACTTTACCTTTGTGATTTTCCTCCCGAAAACCTATAACCCCAGTCTAATCATAGGAGAAATATCAAATTCCAATAGAAGGGCTTCCTACAATATTCCTGACCAGTACTCCTCAAAACTCTCAAGATCATCCAAAAAGAAAGAAAAGAAAAACATCTCTATCACCTAGAAGAGCTTATTTCTGATTTGGTAAACAACCAGAGTTTATGACTCTGACCTCCTACTTTATCAAAAACTTAGAGTATCTTGAGTTCAGCTTCTAATCTTTACAATATTTTTCTACAAGAGAACACTTGTAGACTCGGTATGAACACAAGTGGCATCCACAAAAATATTGTTTTCCAAGTCCAAATTGAAAGACTAGCACTAGTACTTTGAAATTCAATTCAAAGTATATTTATAGAAAGAGAAATATCAAAAACCATGTTTCACAATGCTAAGTGACACTCTTGAATGCTCAGGAAAAAAATGATGTATTAGAAGATCTCTACTTGGTTAGAAATGCTTTTTTCTTTTTTTTTTTTGGAGAATGCCGAAGAACGCTTTTACTTACCTAACTTCAAATTCCTCTAATTCCATATATTCACTTACCTTTAATTTCACAAACTGCCATCTTTATACTTCCTTTGCTCCCTTTGCAAACATCATCTTGTGAATCATAATAGGACAAGATTCCATTATCTAAAACAAACCATCGAGGCTGCCAACCTACAAAGATCATAAACAACAAAAGATTAATAAGAAATTACTTTCATCACATGGAAAACTATGACTTCGAAACTTACCATCCATGTTATTTCTTGGATCTAAAATAATATTCTGTTAATAAATTTATTAATTGCCAAGCCTTGTCCAAAATGTTCTTGCATCAATCTCCACTTTGTTGGCAGAGATTTCTGGGGAAATCTCTAGATCAGCATAAATATGGGGAATAATGTCTTTATTCTGGCTCACAATATTCTCATTAATAACCCTTAAGACCAATCATCAATAACAGCCTTACACAGGGTGCAATATAACTGCCCCCTTTTCCTAAAAGGAACAGAGTCAGGTTATGATTCAGAGTCGGGATATGAAAAAGCAGAAGATTCTAGCCCCAGCTCTAGTACCATTCTTTACTTGAATAACCTGGAACAAATCTTTTCATTTCAACAAATATCAAAAATGCCTAGTCTCCAAAATGAGTGGATTGAACGAGATGACTTCTCAGGTGCCACCTGGCCTCTAATTCTGCAATGTGACCTTCTCCTCTCTTATAAAATGTTCCCTAAGCAAATTCCCTTAGTGCTGAATGAAGTCTAGTCTCTTACACAGAAGTTGCATACCTTGTGGTGAGAGCATGGATTTTCTACCACTCTTCTCTCTTTGCTATGCTGCTGCACAGCTCAGGCAAAAATGCTTCAAACTGCAATCATTCATTTAATTAGTATTTATTCAGTGACTAGAGCACACAACTATCACAGACTTAGCTCTAAGGTAAAGCCAGGGATGAGGAAGATAGATGGCTTTCCTCAGAGCTCAACTCTCACTCCTGCAAGCTAAACTCAGTGTACCCTGAAATCTTATTGAGCATGCTACTCATTTACAACAGTTCACTGCTTAATAATATAGTGACCATGCAGGCAGTGTGACTGTCCCTATTCTCTCTGTGACAAATCACAATTCGGCTTGGTTGTTCTAGATATAGCCTAATATAAGATTATCAATTCCATTTTTCCAGGGCCAAATAGTACCAAAACAGGAACTGACAGGGGATTCATTCTTACATTCTGATACAGACCCAGGTTTTACCTATCCAAAAGACTTTACCTGTAACACCTTTGAAATGACAATGCTAAATTATCATAAAAAGGTTAAATTTCACAGGAGGGAATGTCATAATATAGTTCAGAGAGACAGATATCTAAAAACAAGTTTCAGACATTTAGAAAATTCTTTTCATGAAATACTATATTCTCTAACGAGGCCTGGCAAATTAAAAGGTAAGTTATTTTGGTACACAAATTTTATCTTATTCACCACTGCATTCCCAGCACCTAGACTGGTATATGGCACATAACAAATGCTAAAAAAAAAATGTAATTCTCAAGTGACTGATTGAATAAATGATTAAATATCAGAAAAGCGAAATATTGTAAGCTACCCCCTGAAAGTACAGATATGCAGCATATCCATCAGAGTATACTGTATTAAGCATACAAAAAATGATGAAAACATTATTTTTTCAAACACTAATTCACCTTGACAAACAATTAATAAGGAGAGTGTGTGAAAATACACTCCTCTACCTCAGGTCCAGTTTGATTTTGTAAGCCTGCATTATTGTGGTTCAGTATCTCTTTAAAACAAATATTGAGCAAAATGACTAATTTAGAATTTATAGCAACTTGAAAGGTGACCACAGTTAATCTAATTAAGACTGGTAATTATCTCTACATACTTTTTTGAAGAAATACTTAATAAAACAATCTCTGATTCACACACTTATAAAACAGAGAGCTATATCTGATTCACAAGTATTCCCTTTTAAATTTTTTTTAAAAAGCACATCATTTTTATTTCAACTACTAAATGTTGAGATCCTTATTCTCTACAAAGGATTCTCAAAGAACACTATCAGACTGCAAGGTTCCTTAAAGATCACCTGGTATGAGCATCTGCTCATCCTTCTGACCTAAGATGAACTAAAGTTAATAATCGGCATGCTGAGCCAAATCTAAATTTTAAAAATAATTCTTCCAAAGAAAAGATTTCATCAAGCTTCTACATTGCATATTAGCAGTTAACTGCTCTGCTAAGACGAAAACCTTAAGCACATTTGGTTAAAAGCTCAACCAGCTGGTACTCACTGTCACATATGATGAGAAAGGCAGCCACCAAGACCACATTTCCATCCAGGAATAAATTATGACTCATCTCAGTAATCTTCCATTGCTCTGGGCTATGCATAAGTAGTTCCTCCAAAAGACCTCCCAGACACTGTGAGATGATCATTTGCATCTCAAAGCATAGAAACTGTCTCGAAGTTAATCTCTCTCCAAACAGTATAACTGTTCTCACAATTGCCCAAATGAAAATGCTTAATAAAAAAACTGCCTCATTTTCTAAACGTTTCCTGTTAAAACATATCGTTTATAGAAACAAACTGATATTTAAGTGAGAACAAAATAAAACATCTGTGTATCATAAATGTTAAAGCATCTGTTGCTATAAATCTGACTTTAGCATTATAATTAATAATAATAAAAAAAAACAGAAGCCAACTGTAGCTCACTACTTATGTCTCAAAATGTTTATGTGCAGATTTTGCGCAAGGTCAGGTGTGTGCACAAGGTCAGGTGTGTGCGCAAGTTGAACGTTCCATACAATTACCAAGGGGCACAATACTTTTGGCAGAGCGAATAAGTGGGCAGCAAGTCAAGATTTGCCTATTATACTGGACCAAAAAATCTGTTTGCTATTTAATCTTATTTTAAACCCATTCCCTTTAATTTGTGAGATCACAGAATTCTGGATTGGAAGGCACCTCCAGGATAAACTAGTTCATCACCCTGGTTTTATCAGATTGAGATCTTGAGAGAAGTGATTTGTCTTTACTGTTGGCTAATGGCAGAGATGGGACTAGAACTCAGATTTAAGGCTCTTAAAATAAGTCAGGTTCTTGGTGTCAAGGAAAAGGGCCCTTCCCTGCTGGTCTCATTTCTAAAAACCATCTAGCTTTCTGGAGTTCCTTTCAACCCACTTCATGGGTGAAACTGAGTTGTCTACCCCACTTATATGTACTGCACTTTCTTTACTGTTTTTCACACACTTACCTGAATTCCAAAACAAGGCCACCTCACTGACAACTAACCCCCAAGAGACCATTACCTTGGGACAACTTCAACGATAGAACTGTTCAACCGCATTGCTAAGGAAATTGAAAGAAATAGAAAAGATTTCTTAAAATTAAATCTTGCTTTTTAAAGGGTCCATTCCAATCTTCTACTCCGACAATTCTATTATTAATAAAATGCTGAATTAAGTGTGAATAAGGACAGAGAGTACAACCACACATGTAGAGCGACTGGGAATTGTTCCGGAAGCTACAGGAGAAATAGAACTATTATTACGCAGGCAAAGAAGTGGTCAGGTGCACTTCCCACCCTCAGTAAGGTGCGCAGTCTCCAACTGTCCCCTTCACAAGCCAGATGGGCCCTAACAAGGGACAGAGAAAGGGATTAAGCCCGGGAACCAAACACAGCCGATTCGCTGTGAGGGTCACCGCAGGCCACGCAGAGGGAGGTGGAGCCCCTAACCTGCCTTCTCCGCAGCCTCTCCACCTAAGCCCGCCCAAGCCCTCTCCCCGCTGCCCCCGCCCCGGGACCCCCGAATGCTCATACCTGTGAGATAGTTGGTCCACTTGTACAGAACCCCCTCCATGCTTCAGAGCCCGGCGCCGTGCATCCTCCTGGCCCGGCGCTGGCCGCGATGATGGGGTAAGCGCGGAGCCTGGGCAGC